GCTTGGCTACAGTGTATGCATACTATGTAAATGTATACTTAAAAGGGTATACCTAAATGCGTAATGTATATGAATGCCTATTTAACAAGTAGTGTAACGGTAAACACCACCGCTCAATTAAAATCGCACTTAACGTGCGAAAAAAATATCAAAAGAAACGAAAACGAACTATATCTCGGGCACGTCGCGGTGAAGACAGCTTCGACTTGACAGCTTCACAGCATCATGTCTTCAAGATTCGACAACAGAAGCACACGCCTCGACCAGCTCGCAGGTGACAACGATCAACGCGCGAACACCCCAGACACTTTGATAAGCGGCGCGATTACAATTGACCAATCACTGCACACGTAAAAGGCAATACGACTGCACTGGCATCCGACGCGCATGCAGCGACGGCGAGATGTTCCAGTTATGGCGGTGATGTAGAGCGACGCGGGGTAAACCCGTCACAATTACACTCGCCGTGACCTAAACATCACCGAATGCATCTTGGACAGCGTTCTAGACGCGCTGGAACATGGAGGCGTCGCTCCCACAACAAGTGGAGCGACGTAAGTTGATAGAAGGCATCTTGCAGTCGCTGAACTGCGCGCGCGGGTCTGTGACTTGTCTTGGAAGCCGACTGAGATTGCTTCTTCGTCCACTATCGTGAGTGTTATCGATGGTGTACAGCAAGTGGAGTGGCAGAGCCTGATCGTGCTGCATGGAGTAGCCTTCTATTCAGATCCCAGCCATCAAACAAGGAGCGCCCTTGGATAGGGAGCTACGAGCGAGCGCTGATCAGATTCTGAAATCGCGGACATTCGTGCGCGTGGTTGGCTAAGAGAAATTTGGTGAGATCAAATAATCGTACTCGATCTCAGTCATCAAGTCCCCTTGTATCGCGGACCATCTGTAACGGGGCACCCTGAAGCTTGTACTGGTGACAGTACAAGCTACTTATTCTGATGACAGAATAAGGCGGTGCCTCGTAACTTCACGTACACTGGTACGTGCAGAGGAAGACGGCAAGAAGAAGCGAGTATTTGGTTAGAGTAAAAAGTAGAACTGTATTTATAATAGTTAATGTCTGCAATAAATCACTATTTATCTTCATCTAACTATGTCTAAATACAAATGTGTAAATCAGTTATCTGCTCACCACTCATTGCGTGCGTCTGTCGTGGCGCGTCTTCGTTGGTTGATATAATGGCCTATATCAACCAATTAGGAATTACTTGTAAGTGCTACAGAATATTTGTCCTTATGACAATATTCTGAGAATATAACTCTTATAGTTATATTCTATTAACAATTTCTTATAAATTGTTATGTAACGATTCACCCCGTTACACCATCCATCGTCTGCAATCTTTGTCGCCGCGGCCTCCTTCGCCTGCACTCCGTCTGAACCTCTTCGAGAATCGCCTTACGTGGCTGCCACGAATCACTCTCAGCAGATAAGACGTTACAGCAAACGCTATATATTCGTGTATCAAATTGTTCGCGATGAGCGTCTCGGCGACGATCACCGAAACGAGGAGACACCTTCAGATTGCGATGATCGAAATTGCGATCCACGATCCAGCGTAGATTCTGGGCGCCTGCAACCAGAGGAGGAGGAACGTCGCGCTGAAACAGTACACATGACTGCAGCGCCTGTGTAGAGGGCGCTCGCGTAAATTGGAGAGGTCGCAGGGCAGCCCTGCGACGTTGGGCGTCGTGCTGACTTCGTTGACAACAATGTTCACTAGGCTAGTGACCTGGTGGTGGTGGCGGACAGTCGCTCACTGGCAACTGAGACAATTGTCGCCAGGTTTGCTCGGCGACGTGATCGCCTCGAGAGGTCAAACGAGGCTCTACGGCGGAATACGCGAATTTGAGGGGTCAGCGTCCGCCTGATCCGTCGAGGTCTCCGCTACATTGAAGGCACGCTATGCGCCTTTAATACATCCATCTGCGCCAGGAGAAGCGACGAATGATACGCTCGAGACGCCCGAACTGAAAGTCCGATGTAGTCGCATATCCGTATGAATGTCGAGAGTGTGGGCATCACCCATCGTCTTAATCACGTTGAAAGAACAAATGAACCTTGGCGCCAGTTTTTTTCACTAGAGTTGGTAAAAGCCGTTTCTTGAATGCCTGTTGTAAATAGTAGTACCTTGTCGCCTATGGTTAACTTCTAGTGATTGGTGCGACCGCGCTTGCCAGCGGCCTCTTTCTGTTTCTCGACTTTTTTTGCAATAGCGTAACTCACAAAACGCGTGACACACTGACGCTGTTGGAAAAAATGCATATAGGTTGCCGACTCAGCAAGACATTTTCTCGGCGGCGACGCGTCTGAGCACGAGTTAAGCGTAGGTGACGCTCGTTGAGAGCGTCTGAAATGATCTGAACGGCGCGTGGGGTTGTTAAATACTCGGTGACTCACCGAGTCGTGTCGTCGACATTCAGTGGTCGATAATTACCTTGCTTAAGCTAGCGGGTGCGAGCTGTGGTCACTGCTGTCTCGAAAACTGTTGATGTCTCCATGTGTGAAACACACAGATTTAGGGTCACCACGGTCACATGGAGACGCGGTTGCTGCTGTATATTCAGTAGATGCCAGTTTGTCTGCAGCATCTCCACGGTCACAAGGTGGCGACGTCGTCGCTGGTGCACTTTCACTCGGTACCAGCTCGTCTAGTGTCCATCCCCCACCAAGAGTAGATATTTCAGGTAGACCGAGAAAAACAGGAGAGCGAGGTCGACGAGCGTTGTTGAGGAAGAAGTACGTCAGTCCGGTCAACGCATGAATCGCGTTACTCGCAGCGAACTCGTTTAGGGGTAGAAACGCACTTCATGACGAGAATGACGCGGCATAACTGCGCACGACGTCCTCCAGCACGCGATTTGCGCGCTCAGTTTGTCCATTCGTATTGGGATAAGCGGCCGTCGACATCTGTTGACGCGTGCCCAGAAGGCGACCAGAACGCAGCTGTTAAGCGAAGGTCCCTTTTAAAGACAATCGTTGCAGGGAGACCATGGTGTCTGAAAACGATGTCGAAGAAAAATTTCACTGTGTCCTCTGCGGTTTTGAACGCAGCGACAGGAGCAATATAAACCATCTTGCTGAAGCGGTCATCGACCACAAAAATGCCGGTGCGCTCTTGCTCATCGGCGAAAATACCAACGATAAAGTCCATGCTGACCGAGTTCCATGCCTCAGTCGCCACTGGTAGAGAGCACAATAAAGCTTGGAAAGATGGACTCAGTTTGACACGCTGGCATACCTCGCATAAGCAAACCCATTTGCGGACCCACGTATACATGTGGGACCAATAGCACGTAAGAGATATGGACAAATACGTCTTCTCGTGACCCAATTGTCCACTAATCGCACTGTCGTGGTGCTTGTTAAGAACACGAGCACCTGGATCGTCGTCTAGAGGGATGACGAAGCGAGAGGGTCAAACTGATCGATCTGGTACATAGGCAAGTCGCCGTTGAGTAGGTGACGCGACATATGTGCTCGAGCCGATGCTGCAAGATCACGCAGCGTCATTTCAGACGTTTCTCGACAGTATCGAACGATCACTGCGTAGGAGACATCGTAGGGTAAGCTGCCGCAATGTCGGTTCGAAAAGAATTAATTACACTAACCTGCGTCACATTCACATTGAGCGTGACACAAGCAATACATTCGTCGCCATCGTCATCGGTCAAAGCAGGAGCCGTGACAGTAGAAAGAGGATCATAGTCAGGCTGACGCGACAAAGCGTCGGCAAGGGTGTTACTTGAACCAGGCTTGAAATGAACAACGAAGTTAAATTCAGAGAAAACCGACGACCAGCACGCCGTGCGCTGGTTGAGATGGGGGCTCTTTGTTGCGGTGCGCCAGGAGGCTAGATCGGTGTATAGTGTGAACGTCCGCTCGACCAACAGGTATTCGCGAAACTTGATGAGGGCCTTTCTCATAGCCAGCATCTCCTTATCATGTACACGATAATTGCATTTCGCCAGCTTCTATTAGTGCGACTGATAGCTGATCACTCGTTTAGTGTCTTCGCTGTCATGTTGCATGAGAGACAAACCAATAGCGAATTCACTCGCATCGCATACCGCATGAAATGGTTTAAAGTGATCAGGAATCGCCAGCACTGACGCTGTAAAAGTTTTTTATCCTTTCGAAAGCATCTTGGTGCTCCTAAAGCCAAAACTACGTGGCGTCCTTCTTTAACGGATGATACAATAAGTGAATCATTGCAGCAAGGGCCTTGGCATAATGATGTAGGTAGTTCGCTGGACCCAGCCATTGGCGACGATTTTTTTGCTCTCGTGGAACAGTCCATAAGCAGATCGAAAAGATCTCCTTCGGGTCAGCGCGAACCTTTTTCGCGCTGACGAAGCTACCACGCACCGGTATTTCCGGTGCACAGACAATGCATTTTTCAAGGCTGGCGTAGAGCTTTCTCTCACGCATCGCTTTAGATACTTGACGGAGGTGTCTGAGGTGGACCGCAAGGTCGGTCGTGCCGGCAGCGGCATTACTATGCACGAAGATATCGTCGAAGTAGATTGTAACCGATGGTGAGAAATGGGCACAACACATGTGACACCATCCGTTTGAAGGTAACAGGAGCGTTTTAAAGCCCCTGTAGCATCACGATCCATTCCCACAGCATGCCAGCAAGCTTGCTTATAGCGGTAAAAGGAACAGCTTAAGGGCGCATTAAGATCTGAAATAAGCCGTCCGTGAGGTCCAGCAAAGAGAAGATAATATTTCCAGTCATGGTGTCAAGAACCATGTCCTTGCGAGGGATTGGAGTCTGGGTTGGATTTGTCGCGTCATTCAGCGCGGACGATTTGCCATCTGCCTATCGCTTTTCACGCAGAACGTGGGGCTGAAATGGCGTGAGGTGCTTTCGCGCACGCGGCCCGCCTGCCGACGCCATTTAAAGAAGACGTCGATTGCTTTAACTTATTCCCAAGGAATAGACCATTGTCGTGTGACAAAATAGTGAGAACTTGGCACGAGCTTAATCGCGTGCCGTAAGCCGCGAATCAGCCGGTAAAACCTCTGTAATAATGGTAGGGAAGACATCTGCAAGCTCGCGCGCTAGTGCGAGGGCCAGGTTGTTATAAGCGGTGAGATCTTCCCAGGATTGCGCCGCAAAGCGCTCTTCGCGTGCTGACTTTGGCTCCATTCCTTCGGGCGCTCGAGGTTGTCGAGCGCCTGGTCTTGGAGGACAAATTATAGTTGTTCGACATCCCCCTTTTAAAATCACGCAGCAAGTCATTCCAACGAATTTAAGGAGGTGCATGATGGTAGACGCGAAGGAAGGAAATTAGCGACCCGTACAGGGTGGAAGTTGAGATCAATACCTGTCAGATCGACAACGTTGACAGTCTCGATCGGGAAGGGTAGAGCAAGCCTAGCGACCCGGGGAGTACATCGAATCCGGGCCTTCGTCGCCGACGGCGACAAGACACTAAATATTTGGCCGGGCGGTTGACTGTGGTCGCAGCAGCCACTGCTGCCGCGACGGTGACCATAGCCTCTGCTTTGGCACAATGTCCTCATCGTGGTTAAACACGGGAGCCACTGCTCGCTCGCGACACATCATAATCGTCTTCTCCGGTGTAGTTTGTAACTCAGGCACGCACGAGAGAGGCCTCTGCCCCTATGCGGTGTTCACATGCACGGGAGTTGCTTCTCGCGCGTGACGCACCGAAAGGATCTGCTTCGGAGCGGTTTTGATATGTCTTGAGTGCTTGAAAGCCGCAGATCGCGCGTGACGCAACGAAAGCCTCTGCTTCGGTGTGATAATGTTTTGCTTGTCGCACACGAGAGATATTGCTCGACCTTTAGACACCGAACATCACTGTCTCGGCGTATATTCTTGACTCAGAGACCACTAATAGACTGAGGAGGAGAACGTCTCGGTGTCGTGTACTGCGAGCAAAGGGGAATCTCACGCTTGGCGGGTACTAGAGATCGCAGATATAGGATATTACGATAGCAACATGCTGCCAGGTGCTCGTGGGATCAGTAAGCACAGCGAGCACAGCGTTGACTTCGATATCACGGAATTTAACAGTGCATTTAAGCCAATCGATGTCCAGACGATGCCGTGCGAGCCACGGCATCCCAAAAATGCAGTCAAACGACCCGCTGAGGTCAGTGACGTATAACTCAACACAGCTTGCAAAGCCTTCAAATTGGTAGGGGAAGACAACCGACCGCTGTCGGTGTGTCCTCGGCTTACCATTGACATACTTAACGATCACCATTCCTGAAGACTCGCAGACACGCATCCGCGAGGAAGGTATCTTCAAACATTCTACGCGAACGAAGTTATTCGTCGCGCCCGAGTCCAGCAGCGGTCGAAGCGGGCGCGTCGCACCGTCGACGTGCTCGCTGAGCACGATCAGTCGATTGTCGCTGCTGGACGTGATGGCGTAGAGCTGCTCGTGAAGCGTATTGAGGCTAGTGGAACGTGTCGCCACCTGGGCCACGTTCCTCCGTCTTCGCCCAGTATGACGCTTCGCGCCTACTTTTTTTCCACTTCTTTGGCCGTGCGGCCGAGTCATCAGTGGTGATAGACTCTGTGACAGCGGGCACAGGCGAAGGCGTGTGGCATACCGCCGCGCGGTCACCAGGTTTGCAACAGCGGAAACAGAAAAGCTGACTCGTCGCCACGGGTTATCGAGCCCCATGGCTCACAACACGTCGCGAGTAGGGGGTGCTCTTAAGCGCGTTTATTTCCATAGGCTTGTTCTCTTGAACAGCACGAGGGTACGACGAATGTTCCATGTGCGAGGCCGTGATGCTGAAGTCTTCACGTAACGCTATCGTGAACGCTACTTCGAGCGACATTGAAGGCTTCTGCGTTAAAAAAAAGGCTGATGAAAGGTGTTTATACCCGTGATGAACACGTGGACTTAAGTCACTAAAACGATAGAATCGGTGACAATACACGACGCCAAATGTCGAGCATGTCGGACATTATCCAGCATCGATTGGCGACTTGTTTCAACGCGAGGAAAGCCGATCGTAGGTGGTGTTTGTCCTGCGGGTGCTCGAACGCGAGGCGCAAATCTTCCTTCAGGGCCTTAAAATTTGAAAAGCACCCCGGATCAGTGACAATCTGGTCGAGCGCTCACCTCTTCGCCTTCTCCGTCAACTTGGAAGGGAGGAAGTGGGTGCGCGAGAACTTAAGAAGTGAGTTGGCGAGCTTTGTTAGCAATAAATGCCTTGCAGAGCCAGCGATTAAGGGCGCGGCGCTTCGACCTCTCGCCCGCTGTAGCTAAAGACGTCTAGCTTGACGACCTCTGACGTCTTGACAACCGTGGGTGTTGAGGCTCGCCGACGCAGATCAGCGAGCTCACGGTCGACAAAGCCTTATATCGTGAAAAGCTGGAGGTGCTCCGGCGTGTCCTTTAACACGGCGATCACAGCACTGATGCCAGCCACGACTTTCAAGCGGCGCAGTGCTTCCTACTCGAATGTGTTGAAGTGTCGGAAGTTTCATGATCTAACACCCCACCTTTTGCGCCCTGTATCGGAGCGCTCATCTACGTATCAAGACGGACTACTAAGTGCTAATAGGTGTAACTGGACCAGTACCCGTTACGGCACTTACACTAAGGTCTTGCGAGGAGGCGTAAGAGACCCACGTGTAAGCGGGTGTCGTTTGTAGATTAGTTTCAACTCCGATTTTAATGTTTATATGTTTAACCCAAGGTTATCCTAAGTACGAGTGGTCTCCAAACGTCATGAGAGCCACTCAATATAAAGGTCGCATCCTTTGGCTGATGATGGGTCTGTACCCACTTACCAGCAGAGTAGGACTACGACGCACTGTAGCCACTACGCTTGGCTACAGTGTATGCATACTATGTAAATGTATACTTAAAAGGGTATACCTGAATGCATAATGTATATGAATGACGTAATAACAAGTAGTGAAACGGTTACACCTTGTTACAAGGCAGTCCTTCACATGCAAGCCCGTGGCGCACCGGATCTACCGATCAAGGGTATACCCGTTCTCTTGACTGCAGGCGAATAAGAGAGCGAAGAAGACAATGCCTTTGTCCGCTGGGTGCACCGCATACGTCGCCTCAGTAGGATGTGTCCTGTGAGAGTTAGTGTCAATGTGGCTGATGTGCGTCTTGAGCGCAAGCTTTGGTATGAATTTGCCAAGCTTAAGGCCAGAGGCCAATTGCGTAACTCCACGCGATATGCTCCGGCAGCTACGGTAGCCGCGAGTGTTGGTCAAACTATGACCACCAACCCGCCAACGCCAACCCCAAGTGTTGGGAAACGGCCTCGGTCTCAAGGTGACCTTGGCCACGATGTTCAAAGACATCCAAAGCATAAGTGCAATCTTGCCGTAGAGTTACCTCGTATTCCCATGAGTTATCAGACTCAGGGTACCCACGCCACTTTACCAGATACTGGTAGTGGCCATGACGACGACGTCGTTTCAGTAGTCTCTCGACATGAAAATGACGACACCCATGCTCATCGAGAAGCGTCGGTGGAGGCCGGTGTACGGTTGGCAGCCCATGAAAAATTGCATTTTGAAGTGAAGGGTCTTCGAGAGTCCCTAAGGAAAACCCAGGCATGCTTAATGAGATGTAGAGCCACCTTCAGGCGATGTAGCTTGCTCACACTTGAAGTGAGGCTCAGTTGGATCTCCGGTTTGCTTGCAGCAATCCGGGTCACCGCCCTCGTCGTTGGCGCAAGCGCTTCAAAGTTCACATAAAAAAGATCCCGGTACGGCCCAAGTAATCCATCGTAGAAAACTGGGTCTGTTCGCAATTCGCGTGGAAGGTTGAGCGTATATGCAAGTCCCTTCTTGGCAGTGATCGTTAATGATCCGATAAAGCGTGAACGCAACTTGTCTTGAAGACAGCAGACACTAAATTTGAAGGAAGGTTTTTAGGATTGAGTAGTACTTGGTCTCCGACCTCATAACGTTCAATACAATTTTTGCCTTTGGCATCAGCTTGTTGTTTTTGGGTATCTTGGCTATCAGCCATTGCGTCACGCACATGCCGTAAGACATTCAATCGCGTTGCGATAAACTCGCCTACCTGTTTTTGAACAGCAGCAGGGCTGATATCAGCAAGCCAATCGGCAACCGCTCCCCCACTGAGCCCTGAATCACGTAGTGATAGCGTTAACGGAACGTGAGGGTGGGTGAGACCGTTTACGTGAAACGGAGTAAAGCCTGTCGAGGCATGCACCGCGTTATTCAACGCAATCAACAATAGAGAGCGTTGAGCTCCAACGCCTAGGTGTTTCAGCGCAAACACTGCGCAAAATATCATTAATGACGCTAAAACACGCTCAGTTTGACCATCGGTCTGCGAATGATCCGCCGTGGACATGTTCAATCGGGCGCCTAGCATCTTAGAGATAGACACTTAAAATTTCTCATTGAAGCAGGATCTTTATCCAATCAAATGCCACAGGCAATCCGTGTTGTCGAAACACACGATCCATAAACAGCTTTGCTGTACCTCCAGCATCGTTTGTATTCGGCACAGCCGCTGATTTAGCCATCGTGCTCAAATGGCCAATAAAGACCGCAATGCCGGTGTTGCCTTCCGAAGCCTCTGGTAGGCCGAGATTAAAACCCATACTCATGAACTCCCAACATCCAGCGGGTACAGGCAGACTAGCCAGCGGCGCAGCCGCATGTGCTGATGTCTTGACCTGTTACTTGTTCCGCACGTAAGCACAAAGGTAATAGTTTGGACCACCAATAATCTGCTCATTGAATTATTTTCTTCTCACGACCAAGATGGCCACTTAAAGCGGTTTCATGTGCCTCATAGAGGATTCGATACTGTAACTCCTCATTATGAAGAACAGCAATACGAGAGGTATCTTTAATGTCAGTGCGATAGCACAACAGGCCATTATCGATAGAATATCGATGTAGCCTTACGCGTAAACGTGCCGACAAGTCTATCTCCGAGTCTTTAACCTCATTGCTCCCAAGAGCCCGTAGCAAAGCTACACATTTGTTCATCCTCGGCATAAGCCGCAAGAATCTGGTCAGTGACTGATGACGACAATGTCCTAACATGAGCAAGCTCGTAGTCAGGTCGGCTCGGTAGCGCATCATCCAAGGCATTTTGCATTCCTGGCTTATACTTCACCTCGAATTTATATTCGGCAAAGAAGGAAAGCTAACGAGCCATTATTTAGAGAGATGAGGCGACTGTGTCGCTGTGCGCAACGACGCATGATCGGTACAGATCACAAACGGCTTTGAGACACGCAGGTGTACTCTGTATTTTATTCGAGCATACTTCATAGCAAGTAGTTCTTTATCGTTAACTAAATAGCCCTTTTCTGCAGCTTTAGGCTAGCGAGACTTAAACGCAATGACGCGCTCACGCCCATCAACATCTGTTTGTATCAGAGTACTGCCAATGGCAAAGTCAGTTGCGTCACAAACGAAACTGAAGAACCGATCAGGATCGGGCAGCCAATATTGGCGCATGAAGAAGACTCTTCTTAATCGCTATAAAAACATCGTGTTTGGTGTGAACCCAACACCAATCCATTCCTTTTCCAGAAGATTGGTTAATGGCATAGCCATTTCTGCGCAATTTGCACTATAATTATGCAATAAAATGACAAGGCCAAGCCACTTACTTAATTTCTTTTAATTCTTAGGAATTCGCCAGTCGCCTATAGCCCTTACTTTAGCGGGGTCCGCTCGAAGGCCTTTCTTCCCAACGAAGCACCATAGAAAAGAAAATTCTGCATCAAAGATGCAATCAAACGCGTTAGCGTACATTTCGTTCGTGTACATGCACTTGAGCACCGCTCGTGCATAATTACTGTGGTTTTCCACATCTGATCGACCATTTGTTGCACGAATATGAGCAAAGATGTCAGTAAAGCATTTTTGTGCGTCACCTCGATGAGGTCTAAACAGTAGCGGCACCAGACGGTTGAAAATAGCCGGCGCGTTAGACAGCCCTTGTGACATAGCGAGCTACTCTTAGAGCATACCGCTCGGAGTACTTACCGCTGTTAGTGTAGTATCCCTCGCTTGCATGAGCAGCCGGTAATACCCGTCGACTAAGTGTAGTGCGCTGTACAATTTACACCCAACCAAATGGCCTAAAAGAACATCCTTTCATGGAATAGGCGTCTGCGCCGGTATATTGGCTGCATTAAGCTTATCATATGCATGCACAATGCGCCACTTGCCATTTGGCTTCTTGACACATTATTTGGTGTTAAATGGGAAGAAGAATTACTTTCACGAACCGTTTCAGCCGCGGACTTAGCACGATAGAAATCGTCAATGATGTCACACTGTTCCTTAGGCAAAGGCCACTGCTGTGTTACGCAATATTCAGTTCCAGAAACTAAGTCAATTACATGACGCGCACCTCTAGCAGGCGGTAAGACAGACGGAGGGGGTGACACACCACATCTTAAAATATCTTATCCAAAGGATAGAAGGATTTAAGGGATCTTATAGGATCGAAAATCCACTTCGCGCGCTAAGTGCCGCCTTAGTGTCCTCTAGGACAGACCCATTCAATAATGAGGACGAGTTTAACTCGACATCGGGTCTAATGACCACTGATTCGGATAAATCTACTGCCTTGAGGCCTGGCTAAACGCGCCATTAAACATTTCGTCTGGCTCACACAGAGCGTCCAAAGATGGAAGGGTT